CAGACTGCAAATATAAGGAGAAGGGACTATCTTGTTAGAGGTGAATAGGACTTGAAAGTAAGGAAGTGCAATACCTGCCATCTCCTCATTCGTATGATGCAATATGTCATGTTCATCACGTAGACCTTCGATTCGATTCTGACGCCGTCGTTGGAGGGTAGCTATATGAAACAGCCTAGTGTTGGCATCCCCTCCTTGTAGCCAATTTACTCGGGACTTTTGTTTCCAGAACAGTTCTTCTTGTTTGTAAGCCTCCGAAAGCTGTGATTCCAGTTGCTTGATAAGCTCCCAATCCACAATCTCAATCTCTCTGGCTTCTTCAATCGCATGTTTACATTCCCGGATACAACGAGCAGAGTTGGATGTTCCAACTCGTGCCCAATCAACCAGATCATGCCGAACAAACTTGAGCAAGGTGAATGATCGAAACTGGAGGGTACCACGAGTATCCTTTCTCCAGGCCATTTTGATAATCTCCAAAGCCTCCTGATTATTGTCCCAACGACCATCATAGTAGAACGTTGTTTTTGTGGCCTGATTCTGAGAAGTTAACTGCAACAACAACATTCTATGGTCTGAACCTAAATTGGTGAGGTGAATTACCTTGAGTTGTGGCCAAGAGGAGAGCACCGATGGGTCCCCTAAACATCTATCCAGACGCTCCATGATGTGCTCTGAGGCCGATCTCCGGTTGGACCAGGTAAACGGTGAACCTTGGTATCCTAGGTCCATCAGTCCCGCTGCATTCATAAACACATTCAACTGTTCTAAGTCGGGTAATGTAGGAAGATGCCCACCCACTTTCTCTGTAATCGACAGAAGACAATTGAAATCACCCAGGACAAAGGTGGGCAGCGAGAAAGACGAAAAAAAATAAGCCATTTGATTGAACTGCGTCTGCCTCAAGGCTACATCACAAGATAGGTGAACGAAGAGAATAACAAATGACCCTACACTAGGAATTGAACATTCAATGACACAAATAAAACTAGACATAAAATGCACTGTACAAGAAGATGCATCTGACCAGGCCACTGCCAAACTACCCCTACCACTATCAGAAGCATGACATCTAACATTATGAAACCCCAAACTAGCAAATTTAGCCCGGACAAAGTCCTCATCTCACCTAGTCTCACTCAGACAGACAACATGAGGTTTAAACCGACCAGTGACTCCACCCAGAGTTGGAAATGTCAAGGAGGAGCCGATTCCTCGACAATTCCATCCTAGAACACTCATGGATGGGATTGGGACTAGTTGGGGCTGGTTGCCTCCACCCATGGAAGTGTCGCTGAGCCCTTCCCAGCAAGCTTGGCTCTCTTTGCTGTAGGAGAATCAGGTTGGCATGCCACCTCAGCTTCAACCATCCCAATGTCTTCTGCCGCAACCGGGGAAGGACAAGGACAATATGGTTGCTGTTGCATTGCTTCCCCAGATGTCAGAGTGAGCAGTTGCAGCCGTTCACCCACTTGCCCAGACTTCGGTCGCCGAGTATCTTCCCAGTCAGAGGTTGCATAACCTCCTGCCTGGCCTATTCTACCCTTGTTGTGGTGATGGGATTGAGGCGCACGAAATCCACCCGCGTATGAAGAGGAAGATGGGCGTTGGGACATTGCACGCAACCATGTGAACCGCCTCTTCCGCCGGGAGAGGGTATCTTCCGTGATCGGGGGTCCTGACTCCGTAGCCACTGTAAAATTCCCATAGCGAGGAGGTGCACCTGCTAGTTCTGCCTTCCGAGGACAATTGTCCTGGATATGCCCTATAATACCACACAGAAAGAAGAAGATAGGAACTCGTTCAATCTTAAGCTTGGCGACGAATTTACCTTTTGCAGGGTCAACGTGGTCAGCTTGAATTTCGTCTGGAAGCGGCGCGGCTAAATCCACCACTGGTTCAGCCCTGAAGTAGAGACCACTAGAATAGTCTGACCGATGCAAGATGGTGGGAGTAGTCTTCCCAAGTGCGGACCCGAGACGCAGAGCAAGCTTATGTGTAAAGCACTCAAATGGAACCCCCCAGATCTGAATTTCTAGCGGAGCCCAAAGAAGGGATGCTGCCACTTCCAGAGACGACGACACCCATGATCGCACCACCAGCATAAATTTGGGGAAAATCCATGGAGAACCTCCTTCGGCCTTGCGCACATCCTCCGGGGACGAGAAAACGAGTTGGGTCAGTCCATGGTCCAGATTGGAAAGGGAGAAGTCGCCTTCAGGTTTCCAGACGCGAGTGAGAGTTGTCTTCACCGTATGCAACACCGGCGGCAGACCCACCAGACGTCCGATCAGGGTCAGTTCCTCCCGATTTGCACTAGCCGCGATGTCATCGTCATTGAATTGGACTACACCTGCCATTGTCCTGCACCGAAAATAAAAAATAACTGCCTCACCACTCCGAAATTTGGCAACGCAGAGAAGGGGAACTGGAAAGTGGCCTCCATCTACAAAGGGAACGGGGGATTTATAGGGCATCCGCCCTCAAGCATCCAGATTCCGGTGCCGCACGTCGGCGAAGTGCCCGTAACGGCCGTTGCGCACGAAGGCGAAAACCTCAACCACTCGCTTGGGCACAATCACGATAGGAGAGAGGGGAGAGCAATCGCCCACTTTTTTTTTTTTTTTTTACTCAAGTCCCCACGGAACTGTCAATTAAACTGATAAATTAGTATTGGGTTAATTGCAGGGTTGCTCACTGAGATACAAAAAACGTTCAAGTTTGGTCACTCGAAATATTTAAATCCATTGGTGGTACTCCGTCCAACTCCGTTAATTTTGGCTGATGTGGCAGTCAACTCTCAAAGTTGACCGTTAACTTAGTAACGTGGCAACTAAAAAATTATTAAAAAAATAAACTTTTATATTTTCCACCTCATTATTACATTCATTAAAAAATAAAAAAAATAAAAAAAACCTAATTTCTTTTCTACAAACCCCATACCCTACCCGACCCAACCTCTATCGCCGTCGTGGAATCCAGCCACCGTAGCAACACTCCCCCACCACCACCACCTGACTCCGACTCCTGCATCATTCCCGTCCCCGACGCCAGCTTCAATCCCTCCTCCCACTCCTCCGCCGCCGCCTGCGCCGGCGACATCCAATCCAACGGTATTGTACTAAGTTGTGTTTAACAGAGTAAACAAAAGATGAAGAAGACACCGTGGAAATGAATCCACTCTTCCCCATTTATAAATCGCAATCCTCCTCAACCCAACACCCTATCTTTTCCGCCCTGAAATCCCAACTGATCAGAAGCAGCATCGACCACCCAAGTCGAACAGGGGGCATCGCCGGGCTTATCTGGAAGGCCGCTCTAGACGCCCGCAGCCGCAGGGGATCAGCATCGTTAGCCTCTACAGCAGTTTCGCTAGTCAACGTCCGGCCAAGACTGAAGACGCCGCTCCCAGACTGCTGCATCGGGAACCTATACTGGATTACCACGCCACTCGCCGAAACGAGCGGAGATCCAGAAATCGAGCACTTTGCAAATCGGGTGAAGGAGTCCTTGGGCAGGATGGACGGGGAGGCTCCAACACTCTGCCCACCACCAAGCTCCAAACCCCGAAATCGCTTTACCAATTCTCCGACTTTTAGTGGCCGGATTCCGTCGCCACCCATTTCCCGACCCACGACCAGGTCTTCGATTACCTCCAATCCTACGCCGACCATTTTGAGCTGACGAAGCACATCAAATTCAACACGAAAATAGTGGGCATCGAATACAGGGGAGTTGCAGAGGAGGAGGTGGAGGCGTGGGCGCTCTGCCGCGGAAACGACGACGATTTCGGCTCCATGGGAGGGAAATGGCAAGTCGAAGTTCGAAGGAACGATGGGAGTGACGAGAATGAAATGTACGAGGCGGATTTTGTGATACTCTGCGTGGGGAAGTACAGCGGCGTGCCGAATATCCCCGATTTTGCTCCTGGGAAAGGGCCTGAAGCTTTTCAGGGGATGGTGATTCATTCGACTCTGTATTCTGGCTTGGAGGCAGGGGAAAGTAAGGAGCTTGTGAAAGGAAAGAGGGTTGCTGTCGTTGGTTTTCGGAAAATGCGATGGATATCGCTATGGAATGCTCTGAAATCAACGGTAAGAAGGAAATTAACTTTGTTTTGTGTTTGCTGAAATCGACTTTGTTTTTTTGATAATTTGGTTGCAGGGAAGGGAAATCCGTGCAGGGTATTGTTGGAGAAGCTGGCGGCGGGCGTGGAAGTGCACCGCCAGTTTCACGAGCACCGACGACAGTGCGGGCCTTTACAAGTTCTCCAGCATTCTCAGGATGGGGCTGAGCCAAGTGGATTTCGGGTGGGGAAAGCCGTCGTGGGAGGAGAAGCCGGTCTCGGGGACGCTGGAGTCGGAGTCGGGTGGTGGTGGTGGGGAGTGTTGCTACGGTGGCCGGATTTCGCGACGACGGAGGAGGTTGGGTCGGGTAGGGTATGGGGGTTTGTAGAAAAGAAATTAGGTTTTTTATTTTTTTTTATTTTTTAATGAATGTAATAATGAGGTGGAAAATATAAAATTTTATTTTTTAATAATTTTTTAATTGCCACGTCACTAAGTTAACGGTCAACTTTGAGAGTTGACTGCCACATAAGCCAAAGTTAACGGAGTTGGACGGAGAGTGACTAAACTTGAACGGTTTCAGTAAACTGAAGTACCACCAATGGATAATGGATTTAAATTTTTGGAGTGATCAAACTTGAACGTTTTTTGTAATCTCAGTGACCAACCATACAATTAACCCAATTAGTATTTGATTATTAAGATCATAAGATGGGACCGCGAGTCCTCACATTTGTCAGCCACTTACTACCGTGGACTGAATTGTCAATATACAAAGTTACATGACCTAATTATCAATTTTCTCGTACAAAAGTTACCAATCCATACAAATTGACCCCTGACGTACTGGTGGTAGGCCCCATTTGCCATTCACGCGAATAAAACGAGAAAGCTAAAGAGAAAGGAAAAGACGCAACAGAGGACATCAATCTCATCTCAGTAATGGAAGACGTAGACGTTATACTCCACCACCGCGTCGCCGGTCTTCAGATCGAACTCGTGAGTCCTCGCCTGAGCGTACCCGCGGGCGAACCGGAAGGCCCCGCTTCCACCGACGACAGGCATCTCCCTGACCCCGGAGAAAACACTGTTCCGGCCCAACACGCTGAGATTGCTGCCGTTGTACTTGCCTTCCGTAAATGCGAAGTTGAGCACCATCAGGAAGCTGAGCTCGGTCTGGGAGGCCGAGGCGTAGATCCCCTGGGCCCGGCCCACAGGCCTGGAGCTCGATTTGGGGCCCACGGTCAGGGGGTCGTCCATCATGTTGACAAGCCCGAAAAGCGAGCGGGAGGTGTTGGTCATGGCGGCGCGTGCCACGGGGACGGCGGTGGGGTTGCGGCCGCTGACGATGTCGTGGAAGTAGAACTTCAGGTGGGTCAGCTTTTCCTTGCGGTGGAGTCCCAATTTCTCGGGGCGGAGAGTTGTGGAGAATTGGCCGGCGTCGGGTGTGGAGGCGTGGGCGAGGGAAACGGTGAGGGAGAGGAATAGACATAGTAAGAGGATGGAGGTTGTGGCCGCCATTGGTGAAGGATATGGGGAGATGTGGGGTTAGAATTAGATAGAAGAAAGGAGGAGAGAATGGTTGGTACTATTTATGATAGCTGGCAAAGGGCGAATGGGCCTCTGCTTTTTTGCAGGGGGTGGGCCCGGTTTTGTTGGAGCATAAAGGGCGTTGGTTTCTACGAACACTTTTAGTCAATTGACTGTTAATCCCTTCAAATCAGAGATTCGTTAATGGGAAGTGGACTATCTTTAATCTTGATCGTAGATTTGTTGTGAATTGGTGGAACGGGATTGGAGTCAAGTATATATGCAGTACTGTGATTAGTTTCCACCAATTTGTCTTGCCCCGTTTACAAGTTTGACTATCACCGTTACTAGCGTGAAATGGGGTGTTTTTGCACCCTTTCACGGGTTGTTTCCTTTTGTTTGGGAACAATTCTCCCATGTCGAATACAAATTTGATCGCTCATATAAGTCATAACCCATTTCAGAAGCTGGAATCGGTTTGAAGGTGAAAACTTAGTCACAATGATTGGATTGACAAAAAAGTAAGGAATTGGAATTCCATTTCCAATTCCATTTCCATATATTATGTTTGGAATAATAAAAAGGTTGAGAATTGAATTCCAATGGGTCTAAAATATGGGAATTACAATTCCTATCAAAAGTGATAGGAATTGAGAGAATGAAGATGGAATTAGTGGGACCCATCAATACTTTTTATTATTTTGTTGACCCACTATCATTTTACTCTCTTTCTCTCTCATTCATATTTCATTTCCCAAAATAAAACAAACATATTACATTATTCATTATGGTTAAAAGTGCAATTCATTTCCATAGTTGTAGGAATTATACCAAACACTAGAATTGGAAATGGAATTCTATAAAAATAAAAAATTGAATTCCATTTCCATTTCCATTTCTTCCGGAATTGTATCCAAACAGGCTGGAAATTGTCAATACTTTAGGCTTCTCCTGCCATCTCACAGAAACTCATGAGAATTGCCTACCCTTTGGAATGTCGAGAGCAAATCCCTAGGGTAGGAGGGTAATAGAGTAGTAGTATCCCTTTCAACTTCAAGAGTAGGACCTAAGTCCTAAAGCCTGCCCTATATATGTGAAAGTCCTTTTTTCTTGCTTGGCGGGAGAGCAAAGATTCAAGAATTGTCAGGATGTCTACTTGACACGAATCAATCGATTATATTGCTCTGTCATTGGTTTCCCCACAAAAAGCTCGAACCATTGAGATCATACGAGTCATCACCCATGGAGTCCGGTGCAGGAGCTCCATACCCAATTTTGTGAGAACATGCTCACAGAGTAGTACACACTTGTGGGATTGCGTGATTTTTTCTTCACATGATGTATTTGTTACTTTTTCAATTATGATAGGGGCCGTAAGCAGCATATAATCGGGTTGGTCGACATTACTTGTATGAATATGAAATGAAAATAGTGTTTACTTTCTCTCCCATGTGACATACACTTGTATTTTCCATGCTTGCTTCAATTTTTCTATACCTATGACATTCAAGAGAACACCCGTTTTCTTGGAGGCCTCCAACTCAATTGTCATCCCTATTAATGGCGGTCCCAACTATTTTATTCATCGGTGTCCTCTTTCAAAAATTAAATTAAAATTTCAAAAATATATTTCTTAAATACAAAAATTCGACTAGTACAAGTTACAAAAAATACAACTACTTGTTTTCATATTTTGAAAGAAAATACACTCAGAGTTTGCAATATTCAACAAATCTCTTTCATTATATCCTACTATACAATCATTAACGAATTGATCGCATTTTCGATTCCGAACTTTGTTCTTCATGTAGTCTAAAGTTGAAAACTCTCTTTAACACTTACACTTGCTACATTTAAAATCAATACAAATTTAAGAAACAAATTGGCCAATGAAGACGAGCAGAGTTTGACCGCTCTATAAGGGAAGCGGACGTCAAATAAATGATTGAAGAAGAGGGAGAGAAGAGGACTCAACTCTATGATTGTTTTGTTTCTTCTTTTGCTTTGCTTATCAATATTTGAAGGGTGGGGAATCATAAATTTAGTTGTTTGCTGAAGGGTTGGGAAAATTGGGATTTAATTGAACTTTATTTTAGCGTATTATGATATTTATGTTTTAAACTTAACAGCAAATGATTTGTAGTGTACTGGATAACATGTTCTTTGAAAATGAAGTGTCATATTTTTTAATCACCAAGACAACCACCTATTTTTTTCCCAAACTAGTATCCTAGGTTGAAACACTTTAAGGTTCTGATTGCTTCATTCTTAGATTTTTACAAAGCATATAATGCTTTAATTTCCTATTACCGTAGAATTTTCTTGGTGTTATAGATGGAACTCATGTGGTCGTGCGTCCTAGGAGAAAGGACCAAGCTAGGTTCTGGGATAGGACGAACCATCTTACTATGAATGTGCTTGGCGTATGCACTCCTGATTTGGAGTTCATATATTGCTTGTCAGTTTGGGAGGGTTCAGCCCATGATGCAAGGGTTCTTCAAGATGCCCTTACTAGGCTTAAGGCCTTAGTGTGCCTGAAGGTAAAAGGATGTATACAAATCTTTGATGTTAGCTAAAGATAATAAAAATTGTTCTTTAACTCACAGATTGTTAATTTCATAAAGGGTGTTACTATTTGTGTGATGGTAGCTATGGGAATAGTACTAGGTTATTAACCCTTTATCGTGGGTTAAATTACCATCTTAAAGAGTGGGGACCAAGACAGTCATCTAAAGCTGAAGAGTACTATAATATGAAGAATGCGTCGGTTAGGAATGCGGTAGAGCGCATTTTTGGAATTTTAAAAATGAGGTAGGCTATTCTTAGGGATTCTAGCTAGTTCCCCCTAGTGATGTGGCTCGTATTGTAGTTGCTTGCACCATAATCCACAACTTCATTAAGAAAGAACGAGGGGCAGACAGATTTGAAAGGGAATATCAAGATGTTGAGAAAGAAGAAGAACAATGTGATTCAGATGAGGTTAAGACCATTTCTCCAAATGACTTTCATGCTTGTCCTGCATGGACTTGATTTAGAAAGGATTTGGCGAAGGAGATGTGGGAGAATTTGTCTTTTATACATGTTGTTCCACTTGTTTGAGACCATTAAAATCGTGCTTCTCTTACTGGGCTAAAATCGAAAAGTGGGGTAAAATCGAGATTTTACCTAAAATAAAAAACCGGGATAAAATCGGAATCGTAAAATCAAATCATAGGATTTTAATTACCATATAGAAATTAACATATAATAATATTAATAAGGTAAATAATTAATAACACAAATACTTATAACATTTAAAGTGACAATTTTCAAGATTAATGTTCCAAAATCATCATTTTAATTGTTATTTAATGCGTAACTCAAAATAATTTATGAGGAAGGGATATAGCTCATGGGGTTTGGCTCTTGTTTTTCATGTTGTGTCTAGGTAGTTTAACTCAAAATAGTATTTCGACCTCGTCTACTAAGCATGATTTAAAACTAAGAATAACTGAAATCCAATAAAATAATTAATGTCATTGGTTCGGTACAAATATATTTATTAATCAAATAATTTTTTAATAATGATGTTAATTCTTACGCACTTACAATATTCTGACAATTGTTTTACCGATGAGTTAAACAAGGAGTAGGGAAATGGGTTGACCGAACCCTAATTCGTTTTTTTCTTCTTTTCAAATGTTCTTTTAATAGGAAAAATATATGAAAAGATCCCCGTCATTGCCCTTTCCAACGAAACATTTCTGCTTCTTTTAAATTGGCTCAAGCTCCCTATTTTGTTCACATAGGATCAAAATCCCCATTTTGGTACGATTTTAACTATTTTAATCCCGATTTTGAACGATTTTAAGGTCCACCGATTTTATAGTAAAATCAGGATAAGAATCCCTAAGTAAAATCCTAAAATCCTACGATTTTGACTGCATTGGCTGTTACATCTAAAGTTTCTTTTTTTTAATATGTTTTTAATGGAAAGGATGTATTTTGGCACAATGTAGCTTGCTGTTAAATCTGCTATATGTCAAGGTATTCACTAAAATCCGTTGATTCATTATGTTGATGTTCTATAACATGTCATAAATATGATTACAGTATAGTAGGTTGGTGAAGTGTCAGCTTCTTGCCCATTCATTTATTGTTGCAGTCTTGTATGGAAGAAGTTAAATGTCTTATTGCCATTTATTATACAAAAAGTGCATTAACATATTCTACTTTGATGGTTGTTGGTTGCATTGAATGTTGCTTGCAGACTCATCCAACCTTCAAAAATTACAGAGATACACCATTTCCAGAGGTTTGGGATTTGGTGGTTGTGTTCGGAAGAGGGCGGACGACATGTGAAATGGGATTCTAGGGAGCTGATGGGAACGTCATAGTAAGTTCTGATGATGAAGCCGAGCCCATAGTTCCATTATCCCAGATGAATACCCCTGTTGTAGAGGAAAAAAATGTTCAATGTCGTTAATGAAGGGGTTGAGACCTCTACTACTAAGGTTGCGGTTAAAATCAAGGTTCCAACATGAGTTCCAACTAGAAGAAGAAGAAATTGCAAATAGATGGTCGCATAGAAGAAGTTGCATCAGATCTGATTGGGATGAAGCCATTAATAAAGGAATCAGTTGATACAATTGTTAGGGTCATGGGTGAGAGTGAGTTGCATATAGAAACGAGGGCAACGCTTATGGATATCTTGAAACAGATGGATGGAATCACAAGGGCACAAAGGGTGCTAGCTTGCAGGAGGCTTTGCAAGGATTATGGATGAGAAAGACAGGCTCCTTCTTGTGCATGACCTACTCGTTGTCACTAGGGAGAAGAAGTTCTCACCTCGTGTGTCAGGTCCCTTGAGCATGACCGACGCACACGACAGAGCTAGGTCTCGTCGCGATCTATTAGCCATTCTATTGTCCATCGACCGGCCGATTAAGGAGGAAAATGTCGTCACGGGACCCCTGGATTTGGGCTCCATGAAATTGGAATGCAACAATTTG